GAGAGAGAGAGAAAGAGAGTCGAAGTTCTGCATCTCGTTTCATTTCGATGGTTGAATTGAAACTTCGAAGTTGAAATTACTTGTTCTTAACAGTTGTGTTATCTGAGAAGAAAGTACACGCGTGTTTTATCGCGTGTTACGCAATATCTTTTTCATCAAGATAAAACATGCGTAATGAATACGGCCGCGATCGTAATTATACGTTCTGCACGCTAAGTTGGATTCAAGAATCTAAGAATGATGAATTGTTTAACAAATAAACATAATCAACGAAGAGGAAATTAAAGTTTGAGCAAGTTGAAAAGCAAATGTGAATTAACCAAGTGGATGTAAAATGATAAAATGTGGAACATAATCGGAGGCTTGTAAGATGCATTTTAAAACGAATAACACTATGAATTACCAGAAACATGTGAAAATAAAAAAAAAAAAAAAAGAAAACATGTGCAACGGTTATAAGTTTGGATATAGTTTCAGTTATCAATTAATTACTATCTATTTTAATGAATGTTTTAAAGAAAACTATTTTACCAATTTGAAAATTGTAAAGCTGTATCATTTTGTGTAGTTGGTATATATCAGTAATAAACGATGTGAACGTTGAAATACACGTGATATAATCTCTTTATTTTTTTCGTACGCATTGATTCCCCTTTTATAATGAAATTCGTAATTCGATGAATTTTCAAGCAAACGTATCGATTGTCGATAATGACGTTCCCTTTTGATTAAAAATTTCATGTACGACAAGGATATTTACTAAACAATAATTATTATAACTCCTGTCGCGAGGATATTTATTAAATACAAATTGCACAAGCTATCATTCAGTAATTGAATTAATTCAAATCACAGTCTTTTAAAAATGGCGCACGAAAGTGAAAATTCGAGAAACATTCGCAAACGGAATATAATGGGTAATTTTTGTGTGCGACGGAAGGAAATATCTCGCGAAAACACGCGTGAAATCTTTCTTTCTATTTGTATCGTGTCTGTCTGACTAAATTAATATGATCATGTCTGATGTCAAAAGTAGTTTAGTACTCGTTCGATCATAAATAAATCGTCGTGACTCTCTATCTCGTAATACACGAATTATTCTGTCCTGGCGACGATAACGTAATCTTTTATTTTATTTTATTTTATTTTTTTTTAATAACTTAGAAACGATTGACGCGGCAAGTGCATTTGTTTGGATTATTTTCAGATCGATCGATTATATCAAAAAAGATTTCGCACATAATAAAATATCATACCAGCTGGTGTATGAATCTCTGGACGTTAATCTGGCTCCACAGAATTTCCTCTTTGTGTAGTATGTACTCTGTGAGAAGCTCAGCTGCAGCTGTTCATCTCTTATATTTCACATAATTCAAAGTCACGGATATAGATATGCTCGCATAACAGTTTGACTATATTGTGCATCGTACAACTATTCTCACATTGTAACGTCTATTTTGTTTATACAGATTTACATACTTTTGCGGATAATAATTAAAGACACGAAATTTAAATAAAATTTAAATTTAAGTTTATATATTATATGAAACTGTTCTTGCACTCTTTTGCACATTTTGTATATTTTGTGTACCTATCTGCACATTTTACATGCATTTAAATATTTAAACATAGATCTCATAAACATAGATATCATAAATGTATAAACAGTCAAGACAGTTACATAGTTACGTTTGAATAGTGGAAAGTTTCTTTACTTCCTTTTCTTTTTTTTCTGTTTTTTTATTCTCTGTGTAAAATATTTGAAACTTACATCAATGAGAGATTCTTTCGAAACAACAGCAATTTAGGTGATGTCATTTAACTTATTGTTGTGTAATTTCTGCCCGGCTAAATGTGCAAAAATCGGTAATCCACTTATGGCAATCGAACGTCGCGTTGCTCTCGATCGAATGACAATCACGTAATTTCCAGCAGGCTGATGGCAATTTTATATTTTACAACGAACACATAAATTACGTGTTTGCACCTTCCGTGTAAGAGGTCGAGCCGTCGTTCGTGCATTACTATGATATAACGTATGATCATTCGTCGTGCTAGTTGAATTCTCGGTAGCATAAGAATCCCGTTGCGCCGTGTATATCGGTATATTGCCGCTGTTATCTGCGATTTCGAGATCTCAATCGACAAATCTCTCGGGCCGCGAGCCGCGAGAACAACCGTGGCTCGTTTACACAGTTGAGAATTGGTGAAAATTTATACTCTCCTAAACGTACGTTTCTTCGTCACTAGCTACGAAGTAGCTTATTGGCGATTTCTCTCGTGAATAAGCTATTCTCACGTGATTCTTAGTAAATGGGAATAAGTATTTGAAATAAACATATAAAGTGCACACGCTGTTGTTCAAAAATCTTAGAAATCTCGAGAACATTTTATTTTTAATATTAATAGTAATAGTACTAGCAAAGACTTAAAAGGCTCAAAAGTCTTAGGAATATTTAATATAATACTCATCGTATTAACTATTTAAACATATAAACTATTTAAACATATAAAGTACACACGCTGTTGTTCAAAAATCTTCGAAATCTCAAAAACACTTTATTTTTAATATTAATAGTAATAGTACTAGCAAAAACTTAAAAGGCTCAAAAGTCTTAGGAATATTTAATATAATACTCATCGTAGATGATAAAATTCTTTAATCGCTTTAAATAATTCTTTTAATTTTTCCTACAATATGTCATTTAATTTCTTCCGATTTTGAAACAAACGTAGTAGGCTACATGCCCTTTAAACTTTCGAGCCAGACTGTGTTGTTAAAATAATATTCAAACATTGGAATAATATTATATATTGAAAATTCTGCGAACGTGTGAGAAAAAGGCAAATTGAAGGAGAGCAATCGGGGAGGAAAGGCAAAACGAGCAGCTTCTGAAAGCAAATAACGTGAATTCATTTTCATGCGTACATTCGTTTCTG